ATACCAAAACTTTTCAACCCAAACTCCGACTCGAAAGTGCCCACCGTGCCCCAACCTGCAAAGACTTTTGTTGTTGAACAATTTGGGATGCAATCTGCGAAATATTGGATTTTCGAATATTTTGTAAAGGAAACCTATGAAAACATTGGTTTTGCTTTAATAAAAATATCGGAAACACAGGCTTTGACAAATGGTCCCCACGATTTCCAGAAGACCGTGCCTCTGCTTGGGGAGATTTCAAGAAAAGCAACCTGAGAAATATTGGTGTTTACCACTGATGTCGATGATCTCTGGAAGATCTCGCCTCAGGTTTGGGAGATGTCATCAAAACATGGACATCATGGAAATCAGTGTCAAAAGCCAGTGCTTCGCAATTCTGCAATAACATTGTTTTTCCCAACATTTCGTAGAATCAACTTGCGCGCGCTGCGTAGAAAGTGAAACCTACCTGAATCCCAACGTGAACCTGCAACCCGAAATCCAGAAGGCAGGTCCACTTGGAAAATAATTAGGCCGCTGTGGGGGGGGGGGGGGGGTTGGCATACAAATGTATACACACCCTTGACCTATGTACAAAAGAGACGAAGTAGACGAGGCTTGTTACTTGTCTTCCACCAGACGTACCAACCATCGAAACATGCACCCTGCCAAAGACAGAGATCAGCCCAGCTCATACGGATGCGCTGTTTAACCCTTGAACGATGACGACTATGATGTTGGCCATCTTTGGTCAAAGCGATGTCTGTGCCATTGTCATGGCCGCTCAATGTAGCGCAGCTCCAAGTCCTCGAGAAGAAAGCAGTTCTCAGGCTACAAGAGACGTTGTTCTTTCACCGCGATCTGAGCAACGGAAATTTCCAGGCTCCGAGCTTTTCGACATTGTATCGCCTCCCGGCAGGGCCACAGTATCGAAGTTGCTAAATGACATTCTGCAGTTTTGAATATGTGTGATGGAATGCAGAACCATACATGTTCACACACCCCCTGGTCACGGTCTTCATGGTGGCAGCATATTATTCCAAAGCAGAATATGTGCGACATCTAGGCAACGCAAGTCGATTGATTTCCAAGTCATCCGAAAGCATTAGCCTCTTCTTTTGCGGCCATCACAGAATCCTTGTCGTCGGATTGCCTTGTTGATGAATGATACTTGTGCGGCTGCCGTCTACAGTCCATGCGGTACATGAATTCACATTCAGCTGATGAGAAAGGCTTGACATCGGACACTACCTTGTGAAGACAAACATTTCTCGTGCACTCGCGGAGATCTCTAAGACGAAGACGGCTTGAAGTAGCCGCCGAGGATGTCGTGGCCACCCACATTTATTCGTGCCTGTGCCGAAGCGGTTGGGGAACTGAATGTTCTTTTGGCTAGATCCATAAGCTATATTCCAGCTAGATACCATCGACAATGCGTCGTTATGCAATGGGCAAGAAGGCGAAACTCCAAACCGCTGAAGGCCACCTTAGCTATCAATCTGGACGACGAAGTACTTAAGGCCGCAAATCCGTGCTCGCATGAAGAAGGAAGACGTGCACTGTGCAGAGCCCGAAACTGAACTGTTTGTGAAGAACACACATCTGATCGAAGTTGGCTTGCCTCCCAGCTTCCAACTCCGTGGTGCCATCGAACCTGACATACAGCAAAGCCATTCTCTCAAGAAGGGTCTAGAGTTTAGGGCTTGCAATTGCCACTCTTACTATGACAGCGTCGAAACCTGGCTGAGATAGTACCTGGATCTACAGCACACGTGTGTGAGCATAACGGAAGTAAAACGTGCACGCTCCAGTTAGCTAACTCTTTGGCTTGTCGTGTCAGGAACACCAAGTTGTTTGAGTTTGAGGCGTGTTGGTTTTCGAACTTCCTTTCGTGCCCTCAGCATGTGGGTCGCTGCGCAGGTATGCCTTAGCAGATGCTTTCTTGATTGGCCGGCTCTGCTGTGCCAGTACGATGCAAGTGATCTGAGAAGCACACTCCGGGATCGTCGGAAGAGAATGAAGCGATCTCGAGCGAGCATGGCTCCTGGCACGCAGTATTTCCGCGCAGGAAGCTGTCGGCTTCACGACAAATACTTCGATGAGCAAGCAAGGCTTATAGAGGCAGGTCTTTTACAGGTGATGTCCCAGTTAATTCGCCAGGGTTCCCACGAATCCACTCTGCCACAAGAATTCACAGTTTGCGGTCGAGGGCTATGCACTGCATCTCATGTCAAGTATTCAATGGCATACAGTTGAATGCCGGGCTTACGACAGCCACATACAGGAAAAAAACAGAGTTAAACCTGGAAGCCTCCATGAAGCAAGAACCCCAAACCCGGCATTTCTGCACCCGTGCGAGCTGGAATCTTGTAGTCTCTGGTCAACAACGAACGGAGAATACAGGAGAGGCATGGAGAGACTCTGCCAAGAACGCAACAAGAGAATTCTCACCAAAGCCAGCCGTAGTAGAATCCAAGCGAGCCCTTACTGGGAGACAGCCTTTCGACAAGTTGGACCTGAGATCAGTTCGCAGTGTCTGTGCTATCCGCCAACACACAAGCGACATGACCGAAATCCTAAACACCAAGGTGCAACCGGGGAAATAGAGAATTGCATTGCAGCAAGTACTGGCTTGATAAAGGTATGCCTTCGGTAAACGTTTCTCCGATGCTTGGGATGGCAGCACTGCCAGGCAAAAGGTGCTCGGGCAGTCTCCGACTGGCTTTCTTGCTTCAGATAACCTGGCAAAGCTCCGAAGAATAGAGCTGCTGATGAGCGACCGCCTGGCGTGGGGGGGCCAGTGTACCGAAAAGGTGACAGACATGATCAAGTACAGAAAACTGTAAAAAATGCAAATGCAAGCTTGGGCGCAACGCTTGTGTGGCTTTTAGGTCACTGGTTGATATACGCGGACGGCTGTGCATGCAGCAAAGCACGACAGTCTGATGAACATCAATCCTCTTGCAAGCAGGAACAAACTTCGGTCTTATCAACAGAGCTCTACTCCTGGCCAAAATGCGACAAACCACATCTTCCAGCCTCTTTTATCTGCCCGATGGTGGTGAGAGCTTCCTGCGTCGCATCAAGCGTCCGCTTCTCCACGTGCAGGCCGCAAGCCCATTCTGTCCCTCCCAGCCATTCACCTCAGTTCGGGACGCTTACGTTCGTGCCACGGCTGGCACACTTCGTCTCGTTAAATTAATTAACTACGGTCCTCGACTTCACACAGTAACAAGCCTCCGTTTCCAAGCTTCAGCAGGACAAACTGAAATTCATCTGCGAGGCACGAGCATCGCTGGTGCTCAGCGCATGGTTTTGTGCAACGTATTCAACCTTGACAGCATTTTGGGTTCAATGGCTGGGGTAGGGGTGAGTGCAGGAGCTCTCCTGCGGCAGTTGCCAGGCAGGGAAGTTGGTGTCTGGGACAAGTACAGTCCGCTAGACTTCCAAGACATTTTCTCGCGGGGCATTTAAACCAGGTTCAAAATATTGAAAGGAAGCCCTGCCAAGGTGATTGCCGACTTCGCCACGATTCAGCCTAGGCCAGCCCGTGGCCGTGTTACAAACTCCGGCGCAATGATGCAAAGCGGCAGTTTTGTCGCCAACGTTTGCCTTGTGCGGACATGACTTAGACAAGACCGTGCTCAGGAGGTCGAAGGTCTGTCTGAGGAGTCGGGAGTTTAGGGCTTGTTGTTAAGTCTCACAGCCGAAACTCCGAACCCTTCAGCGAGCACCCTCGAAACTGTGTCAGGACTTGGCCTTGAACTCGTCGCAAAGCTCCTTTGTTACATCAACCTCAGCAAGCACTTGTGGTGTGTCCTACAGAACCTCCCGTTGCAATTAATGCGCCCAAACGGAACGCCAATACCCTCATGTAGAGAAGCGCTGCGGAAGCTTAGCAACTACTTCTGCCGCAAGCTTCACCAAAAACCTCCGAAGGGGGCCTGAACGTGCACTAGCCTAGAGGCCTGGAGCAACCTCCCGTCTGCTCAGCCTGTGCTCGTAAGGTCGCATGGTGCAGCAAAGCAGTTCCCAGCACCCAGCAGTCCATCTAATCAAGTCGGAAAGATTGGTATATCCAGCTTCGGGTTGAGGATTTCGGAGTTCATCGACCCCACAACTTCGAATCCTGTCACCCGAAAACTTGAAGAAGAACTAACGGTCTATGAAACATACCGTATACCGGTTCCGTTGAGGCCCTGGCCAGATGCTTGATCTCGTCCTGTGAGTCGCTAGGAACGCTTGGCGGTACGGTCCCTTCTGCTTGGGGTCGCAGCTAGACGCTGGGAGAAACCACGCAAAACGACAGGTAGGAAGACAAATTGTACATGTGATCGTGGCTGAGATCATTGCAACTCAACCTGGATGCCGGGACAAACCCTCAACCCACAGCCAAGAACCCTAAAACTCCGAACCTGCTAACTCCCACATCAAAGCTAAGAACCACCTTCTTTGTGGCGATCGCGCGGTCAGAGGCCACGAAGAGGAAACAGGGCCAAGGGGTTGGGACCTCCGAGGCCCAAAGTAGGGCGTAGGGTTGCTTGTGGATGCTGGAGATTTCAACCCTAACCCTACACTGCCCTACACTTTACACCCTCACGCCCCACACCCAAGATCCTTAAAGACTCAAGCCCTTCAGTCTCACAGCCACAAACCAACCCGAAGCGTTGCCTTTAGGGTTGGACTGTCTGGTGCCATTACCATGCAGAGTAAGAGGAGAATGTCAGGACTGAAATTGCAGGGCCGTGGCTGGCTCTGTGCTGGAGGGCTTGTTAATCCAGAAGCTGATGCACAAGGAGCACGCCGCAGCCCAAAACATACGGGCTTGAGGCAACTGAGCAGGATTGAAAGGGGCGAGTTGAGACGACAAGAGCAGTCAACGCGAGGTCAGAGCTAAGATGTTCTATGCAGGCGTTTTTCCAGTGCGAAACCACAGCAGCTCGAGATTAACATCTTTCAACCTGCACCCACCTCTCCGATGATGTCCCATTCCTAGCTGGAAAGATGGGACCGTGGGCGTGCGGTACGCACGGTATGTATGTTGTGCTGTGTCCCTTCTTCGCTTTACATAGTAGGTCGGCATGAAGCAAGAACAAGTATTTATGACACCGCTCTGGTGATGACTTTAGCAAGACACTAGCAAGACTTTACATCGAGCTAGTCGATTCCAGGGCTCTCCGGTGTCCACCAGGTGCTTCGTCGTGAACTTCTCCCAAAGCCAGGCATCAATAAGGTCTTTTCCCATGGCTTCGCGCGCACCGTCGAGAGTTCCAACCTGACAGCGGCGTTCAAGATACTGAGTTCTTGATGAAACACTTAATTTGCGCCACCTGAATTTTGTGCCTACTACATACCCTTGTTCTGGAATTTTATGTAGCACCGATCTGAAACCAGCTTTCTGAGTGCAAGATGGCTCCGGGTCCAAATGTGGCACGTGGAAGGGACGGTGACCTTCTGTTGCAACAGCTCGGCAGCGTTGCTGCATTGGTCTTGCCAAGGATTTAGGCACGCATGTTACAAAGCCTGGGAAAGCCTCAGCTACGCGTCAGCCCCTGAGTCCCGAATTTAAATCATTTCCTTGCAAGCCTCTTCAGAGCTCCAGTATAATTACGGGAGGCTAATCCAGAACAGGGCTCTCGCTGGGAGGCTACTAGAAGAAACGGCGGCATCATGGATAAAGCAATAAACCAAGAAGCCCTCATGCATAACCCCTACTGTAGACCCCCGAACCCGAAATCCAATAACTAAAGTTACTGGACAGCGTTGCAAAGCCGAGGTCCCAAGCGGTTTTGAGTGGGGCGTCCGTGGCTGGTGCCCAGCCTCTAACCATGGGGGTGGGCGTGTAGCTTCCTTTTGGGATTTGAAGGTTTCATGGGTTTCTAAGTTGAGGTTTTGTTGGGTTTCTTGCCGCATTGGGGATCCCTTTTGGATCCTTGACAGCTAGGACCTACGGTCTTTTTGAGGTTCCGCTGTTCTTTGGAACATTCTGGAACTACCGTTTAGGGTCTCCATGTTCGGTCGGATTCTTCATGATTCGTTAACATGACAATGATGCGAAGACGTGGCCACTCTTCGTGTCTGTCTTGTAGTGCAAGTTCTCAGAGGTTCCTGTATACTCATGAAGCAGATGATTATTGGAGATACATAGTTCGCCACAGCCGGCCACACATATAGCGATTTCATCTTGTAATCTTCCACGGTCAGGATGAGCCAGTAAATGGCCACTTACTCATCAGCTTCTCATTCCAACACTGCCGCACTAACATTTAGCGAGCTCAAGTTCAGCGTCACCCAGAGCCTCGAGGTGTTGGCCAAAGTCTGAAATAAACCTAAAACCCAACATCTAAACCCTCAAACACCTTGAACATCGCCACATCCTGAACCCACACGATTTCTTTTCATAGAAACCGTTTTCAACGGCTCACAGTAGGGTTGCATATAGCCAGACCCCAAACGCAGGCCACAAACAGCGTCAATTCCAAACCAGAAATCCGAAACCTTGAACAAAAATGGTCCGGTCCCCAGAATTCCACAGGCCTTGCTGGTGAGCAAAGACATGTGCCATAAGATGGGAGCCACTGAGCATGCGGGACACTCCGAAGACCTTGCCCTGCAGGAGAGTTGGGCCTGGGTTTGGGGTTTAGACCTCTTTGGAGCTCCTCCGGTTCTTGTTTGTGGGAGCCCTGAGGGTTTATCTATGAGGGTTTATGCCTGTCTTAAACAAAGCTGCAGCCGTATGCGAGAACTGGACAAGGCCTTGACCCCCGACAGCTGCCGAACTGCGCCCTGAACCTAAAATTTCTCAGCCATGAGAAAACTTCAAATTGAAAACGAATATGCGTGTAGCACTGTCGGCCTTCAGGTCTCTGGGCTCCCGGATCGTGCTGCCTTCGTTTCTTCTTGTGGTCTCATCTCTTCGAAGTCGTGTTTGTGGAGGAGTCTTCTAACTTTTAAGGGGTGAAGAAGATGTTCATCCATCGAATGATTTACGTGTCTCACACACAGATTGAGGGTGGCTTGGGCTCAGAGTCTCTAGAGTCTAGGGTTTACGGATCCACCACGACTGAAAAGCTGGTGCAGGGTGAAGCTCTTTGCGGCCCGAACTGTGTCCTCTATCTTCCCGCAGAAGCCGATCAGGGCCCTTGAAGGGGCCTTTGACGTTTCTCGCAGGAATCGTACGCTGCCACTCAAGCCCAACCCTTTACCCAATAGTTTTATCTTAGGTCACCACGTGGCATCGAAAACCTACATGCTAAAGAGAGCTCAACTGCCAAGCGCACACGGCTCGCCAGCCTCGCTTCACATGGATTCCCCACCGCCTCAACTGTCCGACGCACCGATGGACATTGTTAGTTTGTGTCTCTAAACTGATTGCTGCTGGTGAATTTTTGACCGTGCTTACCGGTGCTATTCTTCGATCATATTCGTGGTAGTCGTGGTCTTGGTCGTGGTGGTAGTGGTAGCAGCAGTAGCAGCAGCAGCAGCAGCAGCAGCAGCAGCAGCAGCAGCAGCTAGCAGTAGCAGTAGCAGTAGCAGTAGCAGTAGGAGTAGGAGTAGGAGTAGGAGTAGTAGTAGTAGGAGTAGGAGTAGGAGTAGTAGTAGTAGTAGCAGCAGTAGTAGTAGTAGTCGTAGTCGTGGTCGTGGTGGTGGTGGTGGTAGCGGTAGTATAGGTGTAAGCAGCCGTGGCTCAAGCTCCTTTTGGGGCAGTGCGACCTAGCTGTACGGTGTAGCTAGTTTCCCTCAGCCTGGAATTTCGAAGGTCTCTTGGCGGGAAAAAAGGACCCCCAGTTTGGCCGTAGTCTGCGCTACAGCACTGTCAGTCGGAGAGCGACTCTCCGCTAGAATCTCAAGCTCGCCGGTGAGCTCTGTGATGTAAACAGCTTCGGTACTCAGCCTATGCAAGCACAGTGATTCGTTTTGTGCTTCCCGTCTTAGGACTGATGCGCTAAGCGTCTTGCCACATGGATGTCCCATGATAACAGGGTTGGGGTTGCCGGCGTGTGTGTGTCCCCTGTGATACCAGTCCGGAAGAACTGTCACATACCCTGGATTGCTTTCGTGACTTGAAAAATTCGACCCTAGTGTCTTCCGTTTGGTCTTCAGAACTGGGCTGTGATGCGCAGTTTCTCTGAAGAGCACCGTCCTTTGGCATGTCTCGCAGTCTCGGACTGTTGTCTTCTTTCGCGCCGGTCACTAAAGCGCTTCGGTGTTGGGTTTATGTGTGGCCCTTCAAGTGGTAAGGAAGAGTTTAGGGGCGCGTTGCCCCCTGTTGTGGCCTCTTCGCCTGTAGGCGCTTGAGCTCCGAACCACTTTCCGGAAGATGAGGAGTGGCATCGATCCCTGTGCCGTACGGACGGGATGCAACCAATGAAGGGTATGTGGTGTAGTGTGTGTGTGTGTGTGTGTTTGCATTTTCCTGTTCGGCTGTTCCTGCGCAATCTAGCCTCTGGTAGTTGCAGCCTTCTCCCCGGCCTGGTTACAGCACGGCACTCACTGCTTGGCGGGCCGAAAAGTTTGCTCTCCTCTTTTCTCAACAAAAACAGATGTGCCGAAGTTGCAGCAGGATACAGCAGGCGGCCAGTACAGGCCTTGCAGCAGCGGCCTGCAAAGCCATTGCTGAGGGAGAAGCAAACTCTCACAGGAGTTGGTAGTTCCTGTGTGAGCCTGGGAGACCCACCTCCCCCCAAGGTTGTGAAGTCCTTGCTCCGTGCGCTGCTTTGGCTCGTGCAGTCGAGTTGGTGGGCTTCCGTGCTGGACCTGCCTTGGTCACCTTTCCTGTAGTTGAGCCGTTCCGTGGTGGTCCCAGTTAGTAACAGCGAGAACGCCGGGGCTGCTACGGCGGCGTCCCGTTAGGAATATTGAGCAGCAGCAGCAGCACAAGCAGGAGGAAGCGGAGGCGGAGGAGTCGCTTGCGTCGTAGTAGTAGTAGTAGTAGCAGTAGTGGTAGTAGTAGTAGTAGGCGCCTCATCGCCCGCAACGTGCTGAGCCCGCTCGCACGGCGTCCAATTGAAAAATAGTAGGTGCCTTGAGTTTGCGTTACCCAACACAGTGAGTGGTACGTCAGTGCGCCATATTGGCCACTCTTCGTGCGCCCCCCTGGGCCACTTGTACATTCGCTGAGCCTTGCTTGTACAGTGTACATTTGCTTACAGTTCGGACCACTACATGGCTCGGTGAACCACACTTCTGCACTCTCGCACTTCTTGCATGCATCAATACTTATACCGTTGCAGTTATGAACATCTGTGCCACAATGCACAGTTCTCTTGACAAGTTGAGTAGGTCGCAAGTTTGCAGCTATTCGTAGCGATACTTGCCCACGTTGACTTTGTGCTCTTGAAGCACCGGTGCAATGCACGGCCACGTACAAGACGCCAAGCTGAGCGACCGGCTGCGATTGGAATGAAATAAAAACAGTAGTAGTAGTAGTAGTAGTAGTAGTAGTAGTAGTAGTAGTAGTAGTAGTAGTAGTAGTAGTCGTAGTAGTCGTAGTAGTAGTAGTAGTAGTAGTAGTAGTAGTAGTAGCAGTAGGCGGCCCCCCCACCCACCCTTTTGCATGCGTTGCTTTGGGGGGTGGGGGGTGGGGGGGGGGCTGATAACGTACAGGCAGCCTCTAACAGTTATGAAGCCCGTTGGTGCAAACCTCTTGCTGTCTGCTTAGGGTTAGTAGGGTTTCGAGTTTGGGGCAGCAAAAAAGCTTGGCAACTATACAAGATGGCTGACGTCACGAAAGTACTGCAAATACGGAGTAAAATGGCTCTTCCGGAGATGTTGTTCGGGGTGTCGGCGTAACAATGTCGTCGTCATTTTTCCCGCACCCCGCCCACCCCCCCAAAAGCAAGTCCAGAATGAGCAAAGCAACAGAGTTAAATGCCCGTTGTTAGCAATGGAGTGTGACATGAGCAAAGTACGCTGAAAGCCCTCGCACAGGCAAAAAGACAACGTAGCAAAGTCCAGAGAGAGGCTTGGCAACTATATAAGATGGCTGACGTCACGAAAGTACTGTAAATACGGAGTAAAATGGCTCTTTCGGAGATGTTGTTCGGGGTGTCGGCGTAACAATGTCGTCTTCATTCTTCCCGCACACCCCCCAACCCCCAAGGAAAAGTCCAGAATCGGATGCTGGAGTTTGAAAACTCGCAGGTCAAGTTTAAGGTTTCATATGTTCCTACATGACTAAAGTGCTGTAAAAACCGAGTAGAACGGATGTGGGTTACAAGAGTGGTATGTAAAAGGGGTAGTTGGTGGAGGGGGGGGGGCGTGGCTAGTAGTCGTCGTAGTAGTAGAAGAGGAAGAAGTAAGCGGAGCAGTAGCAGGAGCAGCATTAGTAGTGGTAGTAGTCGTCGTCGTCGCCGTGGCAGTGGCAGTGCAGCAACAGCTGTTGCTGCTGCCGTCCTTGTTGTCGTGATGATGGTGGTATGGCCCAGCCACTAGTAGTGGTTTCAGTATTGGACCATTCTGCGAAATATACTCTGTTTATCAGCCTTAGATACATCTTTCACCTTTTAGAGCCTAAACCACAAACTGATGGCTTCGAGGGCGTGGGTCCGACCAGCTTGGTATCACGAAGGGCATGCTCTCCGATCACTTCTTCTTGTTTTCGATGATTGTTAGGGCGTTTGAGGTTCGATGCTTCGGATTAACTGTCTGGAAAATTTTGGAATGCTCCCCGAACACGCCAATAATTAGAAATAAAGGCAAGCTGCCGTTTTGAGTGTTCGAAGTCGGCTACCGACTCGACATGCGCGGCCTCAGCCTGGACCTAAACCCTCTGCCTCAGGATTTGGGAGAACACCTTTTAAACGTGCCTCGCGAAGGACCTAAGGACCTGTACTTGGGTTTCGTCCCATACAAAACTCTGAGCGGACCGAATTACCGCAACTCAGGCTCCAGCAATGGTGAGCTCACATACGTGCCAATCACCTGGTACCCAGACACTCCCTCAGTTAGCTTCACTAGGGATGTTGGAGTGTCTGGGTTTTTTCGTGGGCGGGTCGCTACTTGTGGGTTGTTCATTGGGGTTCCGTATCGTGGTATACCATGTTAATTGAAATTGGGAACCGATCAAATTTGAAAAACTTACAATCACCGAACAGCTCCAAGATTTCAGCCAGACCTGCAGCACAATGTCCAGAACTTGCATCTATCACAAGTCCCACGCCTGCCTTCGTCGTGGAACCATCCACGATTCGGGCCACAGCGCCCTCTGAGAGCATGACGGCCACGTCCACCTGTGTCATTGCCCTTAACGCCCGTGCGCCTGATGCATGTAAGGATTCCCCTATCGGCTTTTTAGAGTGTTGGATGCACAGACAAAGGCATGACAGGGCTCTTGAGGTCCCGGATCAGAAAGCCTGGGGACTGCTCGATGCTAGTAACCAGTAGCAAGGCAGGCCCTGTAGGTCCGTTCAGAAACCTCCGTCGATCTAAAACCCACCAAACTCTCATACCCATGCCCGAAACCGCATCTATCTACCCGCACGCGCCAGAACATCTAACGCTGCGAGCCACAGGCCAGAACCGGGAAACGACTGACACCCTATGAACCCTGAAATCCCGAAGCACTACTTCCAAAACTCCATAAGC